GACTCTACAAACCACATTTTGTCACGAAAACACACGCGAGAATTGGAACGGGAATGACGCGAAACAACACGTGAAACAGGAGTTGTTTATTTGAAAATGGATGTCGGGAAAAAATTAGCGTTGCAAGCTGTTTGCTCAGTGAAAAATTTTGCTATGTTTATTGTGTCCAAACTTTTCTTTAAGCCATGTTACTGCTGTTGTTTTTCTTCCGGTGACCTCAACCCATGCCTTGCTCTCTCATTGGCTGTAGCTCGTCACAACACCTGACACCCCGTGATGTTGAGTCGGCCGACCGGTCCAGATATTTGGCATGATAGATATTTGTTTGCCGTCGCGTCAGTGAGCCTCTTTGGTAAAAGATGTGTAAGTTTAAGTGTCACTGCTACATACTATTTACCACATTGTAAACAGAGACCTACCCCTAGCACTCAACCTAAACCGGTCCAGGTATGCATGCCCATATCTCAGCCAAAATCAGACCAGCCCTTATGGTCCGTAATCGGGCCGAATGTGGTTAAATGTGCCGTGTCTCAGTGCAAATCGGGCCAGGTCTGCACATCCAAAGCCTAGCCAAATCTGGCAACAATTACTGGGCCAGAGCTGGCTCACTTTTGGTGAGCCGCTGCCAGAACACAGCCGAGTGAGCCGACACTCAGCCGCAATTGGCCCGATTACGTTATGTGTAAGTTTAAGTGTCACTGCTACATACTATTTACCACATTGTAAACAGAGACCTACCCCTAGCACTCAACCTAAACCGGTCCAGGTATGCATGCCCATATCTCAGCCAAAATCAGACCAGCCCTTATGGTCCGTAATCGGGCCGAATGTGGCTAAATGTGCCGTGTCTCAGTGCAAATCGGGCCAGGTCTGCACATCCAAAGCCTAGCCAAATCTGGCAACAATTACTGGGCCAGAGCTGGCTCACTTTTGGTGAGCCGCTGCCAGAACACAGCCGAGTGAGCCGACACTCAGCCACAATTGACCCGATTGCGCTGGCTACCTGGGGAGTAATGTGTATCTGCTTCTCATAGTCTGAACTAAATCACTGTAACTGCAGTCTGTCACTGGATGTGTGTGTGTGTGTGTGTGTGTGTGCTTGCAGACTGTCCTCACACTCTCTACAAAATAATCTAAATTTGTTTTGTTTTTTTCACAGCAATGCTATAGAAGAACCGTTTTTGTTTTGTTTTTCAGTTCTTAAAAGAACCATTTTAATAAAGAACATTTTAATAATCTAAAGAACTTGTTTCCACTATAAAGAACATTTAGTGGTTCCATCATGGATGTAAAAAATTATTCATGAACCATCAATGCCAATCAACTACCTTTATTTTTAAGAATGTACAGCGGATGATGGATGATGCTTTTCATTTTAAGCTAAGATGCTCATGGAAAACAGTTTGTTATTTATGTAAACATGTTGAAGTTTAGTTTAGTTTAGTTTAAATGAGTCAAGTAGGAGGTGTTAAAGGTGCAGTGTGTAATACTGACAGCTAGTGGGTACTGCCGTCCAAACTCACAATATTGAGTAGAGTTGTTTGTCCTCCTCAGACTGGGGGCGGGGGAAATCTTCTTTAATAAAATGTTATAAATAATCAAAAGCTTAATTGTTAAAATAATGAAAGAAATCAATTTACTTAACTTTGTTTAGCATTTTCAATGAGTTCAAAATGCATTTTATTATCAAGCCAGTTTACCAGGGGTCACCAAACTCGGTTCTGGAGGGCTGGAGTCCTGCAGAGTTTGGCTCCAACTTGCCTCAGCACACCTACTTGGAAATTTGAAGTATATGTATTTGAGCTTGATTAGCTGGTTCAGGTGTGTTTGATTAGGGTTGGAGCTAAACTCTGCAGGACAGTGGCCCTCCAAGACCGAATCTGATGACCCCTGCAGTATACCAACAGCTCACCCTTCAACATTACTGTCACAGACACAGTCACATGACCGAAATGAAAAGAGGAGGGAAAGGGGAGAACAAAAAAAGACATAGGGATAAAGAACAACGCATTACAATGAAGTAAATAAACAGATTGGTAAGCTTAACCTATCATTTTTCTTTCACTGTAAGTCATGAAGTCATTCAACATTTAACGTTGCTTGAGGGGTCAAAGTGATTAACCATAATATCAGTATTTTTCAGATTAAAAAGATGGCGGCGTGTGCTCATGCTGTGGCTTCTCTCTCTCCCGTCAGAACAGTGTTTTCGTGCTTTTTGTCTTGTGAGTCGCAGTGTTTTCGTATGTCTTCATCGCGTCTACCTGTCTCTAAGCGTGCATACAGTCGTGAGTTTCTGCTCAATGTCGGCAGAACCACATTTTTAGAGTTAAACTCTGCACACGCCGAAGAGCTGCGGGATCCATCACCGACCCCCACTACTGCATCTCGCCCACATTGGAGGCGCCACAAGCGGCATGAGAGGAAGCAGAAGAGGGGTAAGCGCGGAGGAGAGGAGCTTACAAGGCCCTCCTCCTCCCCCACCTCGGTGCCTCAGACCACATCACGGTCATGCTAATGTCTGCATACAGACCACTCGTTAAAGTTGCCAAACCAGTTCACAAACAAATACAAGTGTGGCCAGAAGGGTCGTCAGAGGCTCTTCAAGACTGTTTTAACACCACTGACTGGAATATGTTTAAGCCGGCTGCC